CATTTATCATCTAGTGACTGGCACGGTAGCACAGGGTGGTGTTGGGGCCACCAGGGTGCACTGAAGGAGTACCCCGTCCATCACCAGTCCCGTGGCAGCCATGGGCAGAGCCTGGGGAACGGGGCCTTTCCCCTGGGCCACTGCAGTCTTCCTTATGTCCCCATATATTTTGGGTGGTGAAGAGTTAATGAACATACGTATTCATTCTTCCTCCTCCCTGATTAGATCCCGAGGGGAAAATTCCACACGCCTCAGCTATGTCCTTAATCTCCCGACAATAGAAACAGCGTTTAGAAAATTAACTGTCTCCGTGGGAGGGGTGGCTCCTCGGTGACCTGGAGCCGCGTTCCGGGTGGGAGCCGGCCCAGTGGCGGCGGCGCAGGCGCCAGGCGGGTGGCACCGCGTGTCCGGCCAGGCCCAGCGGCAATGGCACAGGGACGCGTCGCTGCGGCCCGGCCTGGTGGTGGGGAAGGCACTTGAGCCTCCTTGGCGCTCGAAATGCCGCTCTGAAAAGCCCGTTCGTTTGCCTGCAGCCACAGCTGGGCTCGCAGGAGGAGTCTCCCAGCATTTTCTGTACACGTCACCGTGGACCATTACCGAGAAAACCGGGACAGTGACCTGCACACATTGACCCAGCTCCTCCTCTCCTCCTCCCCCTGACTCAACAGGCGCTGCACGCTGCGGACTGCATCCTCGTCCACCGCGTGTGGTTTCTGTCCGTAACAAATTGAGATGCCGGCAGTTTTAAACCCCAGATGCTTCTCAGAGTTGCAGAAACCCCAAGGCACGCATGCTCCAAATTTCTCAGCCAGGCACAGCCCCGGCCTGTGGCTGTGCTTGGGTGCCCAATGCCATTACACCAAGCACGAGGTGCAGCAGGAGAAGGTCACAAAAGCCCAGGGAGAGTGGGCAGAAGGTGACAGCTGACATGCTGCTGCTTTTTGCTTTCTTTTTCCCCAAATGGACCTTGGCAAAGGTAGAATATGATCTGGTTCTGTTCCCCAGATCAATAGTCACATTCTCCTCTGCCAGAAAACTAACTGGCAGAAAGATGAGGCCTCAATAGCAAAGAATATTAAGAGAGGGGGAAAAAAGATGTTGCAAGACAGGTAAAGATTACATCCAGCATTTGCCAATTTATTTTGTTTCATTTTGTCTCCCTCCTTCCCCTTTTGAGACGTAATCCCATGTGGGTTTGGCTGTGCTTCGCTTCTGTGGGGCTCTGTGTCTTACATGGGCAGCCAGCTTCTTTCCACCTCCCATCTATCCCATCTATCCCCATCTATCTTTACTACGGGGAGCAGTGACGTGACTTAGGCTGTATCTCATCCTAGGAAGCCACAGAGCTAACAGGGATTTAGAAAAAAAAAAAGGTTTTCTCTCTCTCTCCTCCCTCCTGTCAAGTGCATCAGCAAAAACTTTAATGTAAGTGCTGGGATATGGGCAAAAGCAGCAGCAGAAGTGTTTTTACTGGTAGGCCCAGTTATTCTTGTCTGAGGATATAGGTTGCATGTGGATGCACTACTGAGATTTGCTAGCTGTAACATTGCCCCTGTAGCAGTACCTTGTTTGGTGGAGGCAAAGAAAAGAGATTTAAAACTGTGTCACAAGTGAGGCAGAAAAGCGGTTTATTAAAAGCTGCAGCACCCTCAGGAATGAAGGATCTAAGTTATAGGCACCTAGGAAAAGCATTTGACCGCATGTTGGTGACTTCCATGTGCACATGGGGCCTTTCCAGAGGGAGCTTCACATATGTGGGTTCTCACCCCGTTTTGCCTAAATTGGCACCTGTCTGCCGGAAAGGGCAGATGAGGCCTTGGTGTCCCAACCGTGACAGCGAGCGGCTGACTCAGTGCCATCCTGGTGGCCTCCCGAAACTCTCAGTATGTGCCAGATTCCAGAAGCTCTCTGTGCTGCAGGTATCTCTGAAAACCTGGATTGAGGCCAACGCTCCGTGGCATGTAGGGCACTAATCAGGCTGCCGAGGCTGAGTCACCGTCGCTCCTTACCAGACCAGATTTGGAGTGAGGCGAGAGAATCTGGTGTTTGCTACCAAAGTCCTTAAGTTCTGTACCCCCTCTGTTTAGCTTTCTGCCACTTTTTATGAGAGTTGCTCCTTTAAAATGCTCTGGACTTGGCTCCCTAGTGCCGTGGTCAGATGAGAAGCAAAGGCAGCCCTGCTTGTGGCGGGGCCGGGGGTGTTGCTCACAACCTTTGCCATGCTGACCTCCTTCCTCTGGCCCAGCAGCATTCATTGCCTGCTCCGCGAGGTCAAGACGGACACCTTACACTTCCTATAGTTAGGAACTCATAATAGCCGGTTTGGATCCCAATCTGAGAAAAGGAGAGGCTGCTAATGCCCTTGTCCCACTGCAGAAGAGGGAGCCTCCAGAAGCAGGTTGGTTTCAGCTGAGCATCCTCCTCCGCTGACCCGGGCTTTTCCTCAGCTTCACTTTAAGCTCTGCACCACAGCTCAGGCGAGAAGTATTCTGTGATTCTGTGCGTTCTCGCTTCCTCCTTCTTTGGGATCTAATTGGAAACACTGCCCTGAGTCAGAGGCAAAGGCAGTGGTTGAAACGAGAGGAAACTCAGAAATGCACAGTTTTTTTTGCCCTTTGCGACTGCCACAGCCCTGGGAAGCAAAAGTGTGCCTTCTTACAAAATGCGTCAGATATGCAGCAAAACAGTGCCTACAGAAGAATCGTATGAATTAGCTGGCAAGCAGAAAAAAAAAAAGGCATAAAAGGAGGTGGCCAGCTTGTCTTGGGGAACAAACAGGGCTCAGAAGAGGATTGTAGCATGGGTGTTACGTGACCTTCTGCCCTCTGCTATTTTTGGACATTTGCTGAGAAGAATGCCTTCAAGATCACTCTTCTGCGTTATTGGGTGGTGATAGCTGGTCTTTCCAGCACAAACATAGCTGTGCTCCAGCGAGAAGTTTCCAATGGGGATATTCTTTTACAGGCATTTGGATGAGAATGCGTTTGAATGCCCTGCTTTTGGCAGGTAGGGGCAGGGCACACAAAGCAAAAAAACCCCACACATGTCCAAATATTCTGGCCCCAGGCATGTAAATCTAACTGTTGGCAGTACGTTCTCATCATGCATTAAGCAACACAGATCCGAAAATACTTCCCAGAGCCAGATCTCCCCAGCAAGAACCATGTCTTGGGCAGATTACATTTTTATTGCCTTTGCTCCCTTACTCGGATGGTGTTTCAATGGCTGAAGTTAGCTGCTGGAGTAATAGGGCTTCAGAATAATGGGGCTGTTTGCTTCTGCCCAGGTGAACTGGTGTTTAATGGCCTGTACAATTACGTGACCCCTGGTTGCAGTCTGATCAGATACTGCAAACTGCGTGGAGTGGAGTCTGAATGGAGGGAGGATGGAGAGTCTTAGGAGGAAGGGACCTCAGGCATCACCCAAAATGGGGAGGATTGGTCGGGAGGTGGCAATCTCATGTGTTAAGGAGGAGAGGCCCATCGGAGTGCCAGCTAAATCTCTGCTCCTGGTCATGTTGTCCGTGAGCTGCATGAGGTGAGGTCTGGATTCTTTGTGTTTTAGCTCTAATCTCATGGGTTTGTTTTCCCTTTGCGCTGTGTTAACCTTGTGCCTTTGCCAAGCCCCAGATGTTATGACTTAGTTCCCCTTCCCTCAATGCGGCTGTGCCCTCTGGTTGCAGTTCGTGTAGATTACGCAGCCTTGTCCTTGGCCGGACCGCGGGGCAGGGCTGGAAGTGTCTACTCGCCTGTCTATCCGCAGCTAGACAACTGCTACGGGGTGGAAGGCACCAGGTGAATGCAAGGCATTAATTATCATTAACTGAATCTGTTCTTCACATCTGTGAGAGGAGGGCATCGTGGGCCTACAGAAACGAGAGGTTGCCTCACAGACCTGTTCTAGCCTGGTTCATCAAGAGCAGGATTTTGTTCAACACTTCCTTTAAGTTAACACTGCAGCTTAGGCATCTTTGCTCATACAGTGCTGACTTGGGAAACGCTTTCATTTGGGGCTTTTTATTGTATACACAAAAAGTGCTGCAAACCATTTCTGGAGCATTTGACCTCATTTGCAGCCTGCCAAGTGAGAGAGAGGCCGTGAAGCAGAAGGAGAGTGTTTGGGACTAGGCGATAAAGTAAGAGCTTGGGATACATGTTGTCCTAATAATGGCAGCCTTCTACAAACTAGGATTTCCTCTGTTAACATCTTCAGGAATCCTTGGGTATGGCCCGTTAGTCGAAAGACGTTTCGTGCACTTATGAAGAGAGAGGTGCCCGTCACTTGCATGGCTAGACATGGTGGATGGGCATGGTTACATGACAGCTTTATGGCCACGCAAGCATTTAGGAGAAAGCCTCCCAAATCCACGGTTCTTTCTGTCAGCTTAGGACAGTTTTGATTGCTTGTTCAGATCTTAGCCCCATAAGCAGCCTAGCTAATTTGGGCACATTACAGCTGAGAGGTGAACTGCCGAGGGCTGAAAACTCCTTTCCCTCAGACTGCCGATGGTCACTGGTAGGAATTTGCCAGCTAAGCACTGGTTGTCTGTGTTTGATTTAAACTGGCAGCCTTCTTGCTAAAGTCAAGGTCAACGGGAGTAACAGAGGGAGGTGAAGAGGCTATTACAGCACACTGGTGCCACCCAGATGATTCGCAATGCAGCTTGATTTCCCAGCCCTTTCGTCACCCCCTTATCACAATGCACAGATCCATGGATTTAGGTTATAACCCCCAGAAGTGTTGCAACAGGTGGCAGCGTGGGGCACGCGTTCGCAATACTCACACGGTGTGTCTTGCAAGCCCTCGGGGTTGTCCCAGGCACTTCAGCAATGTGGGCCGGACTACTTGGCTGAAGCTCCCAGGTCATTAGCTCCTGCCCAGCCATAATGTGAACTGCCTAAATCGTGAGCTCGGAGCCAAAACCTTCCTACCTTGGTGCCTGCCCAGCCTCAGCGTCTGGGCCTTTAGTCTTGAGAGCTCGGGACGCTGCCACAGTGGGGATGGTTGGTGCATGGGAAAGAGATGGCAGGCGTCTCCGCCGCGTGGGCTCGCTCAGTTCCTCGCACCTTTTCTTCCGGAGCGATGATCGACGCTCAGAATCTGACCCAGTTTCTGTCCCCTACTGGCTGCACAGGCAAAAAGCTTTGGGATTTCCAGAAGGTGCTTGCACAATAGCCGATACCAGGTGAGCTGCAGGCCGTAGCAGACACGTTGACAGAAGCAGTGCCGCCACGTGCATTGCAAGCGTGAGCAAAGTATCCCGGCATTTTGTGTCATCCATGCTCGGAGAATGTTTTTCTGAATACTGTCACCTTTTCCAAAAGTGGGGGAGGGGAGGCATGACTGTGACAATGATATGACAGTTTGAGTGGGAATTGTGTGCTTGCATGAATTCAGTGTATTCAATAATGTTTATACTACTTTTATGCTTGTAGAAGATGCTTGTAGAAAATATGTAAGTGGATCACTACCTAGAAAAAGCTAGGAGCCTTTCTTTGACCTGGTGCTGTGAAGCCAAATACTGTCCTTCTTCCCAAGTTATACAGATTTTCTCTTCATACCTGACATCTCCTCTCCATCTACCTAAAAGTTCTGACTAAAGTACCTGTCTCTTACTGATCAGCTGCAAGCACAAATGAAGAATAAGGTATTTTCCTCTCTGAGGTTGAAGAGGAAAACTAGTAACAAACACAGCAACTGATAGGCAAAGCCCACTCCTTACAATAAGTCTTGCAGCCTGGAGACCTAGTATCTGGCTCACATTGACAGAATAAGAAATAGGAGTGGAAGAAGTGCCTGGAAATCCAAGAGAGCTTGGAGCCCCAACTTGGCCCCAGCGTGCAATCCTCCTTGTCCCCTCAGCAGGAGATTGTTGCTCTGCAGGTCATAACTGAACCAAGGAAACCTTCTTGGGATAGACAGAAAAGCCTAATCCTAAAACTTCAGCTGAGACTTAGTCTTATTCTTCAAAATTCCCCAGAAGAATTTAACTGGAGACAAATTTGAAATGGTCTAAATGACATTGTTTCTACAGGTCCTAACCTAAATTACATTGTTTTTATAGGTGAAAGGACAGGGCTGAGCTGGGATATTTCCTTCCCTTTTTGGAAGTCCTTTTGACCTCAGACCCTGGTGATGTGGACAAGAGGAGAAAATGCTCTCCATGAGTTCCTTTGGCTTGTTGTCCTGATGTGGGTGTCCTTGGAAGAGGGGCTCTTCCTACCTATCCACCCCTCTTACCAAAGCTTTTTAAAATTTGTTTTAACCCCTGTTTTCTACAGTGCATTTCAGTGGGAGGCACAGCCCATAAATGTGTTGCCTTGGATCATCCTGCCCACAACACGCCAGGACTTGTGGAGAGGAAAGCTCTCTGGGCCAGGAATGTGTTAACAGTTTGTCGCCACCTCTCCCACGAAGGACTGGCTGCATTTTCCTGGTTGCAGAAGCGTTGCCTCAGAAGTGCCGTCTTCACTGTGCAACCACTCAGGTAAATAACGTAGTTGCAGTAGGCTAAGAGTAGTCTCTGTTTCTTGCCACATGCATTGCTTTATCTCATGTTACAGCTCTATCAGTTGCTGTTAAAAGAGACTAAATCTTTTGGAAACTATGTGTCAAGGCTGAATTATTTATACTCATGTCAGACATTCCTGAATTTATGGGTAAAACCCAGGATGAAGTATCCTGGAATGTTGCTGATGACAGGGACGTGTTTTACCGACTGGAGAGTGGGCAAACACGTGATGTAGGCAAAGATGGGTTTTGCCTATCAGAAAGGTCTTTTGTTCATAACAAAATCAAGCAATATGCAATATTTTAGGATTCCTTTAATATATATATTATATATATTATATAATATTATATATATAATATGTCTTTCTTCTGTTTTGTAAGCAGTCTGCACCACCAGCTAAAAGCTGTAGGAATACATTTGTAAGTTTGGCTAGAGTGTATGTGTATTCTCTTCATCAAAATAAAGTATTATTTAACGGAATGCTAGAGACACGACACTGCAGTTGAAATATGACCCACTAGAAATGCCTAAGATGTCATAATGAAGAAAGGAAGAAATTTTAAATTATTTCTCCCAAATAAAATAGATTTTTAAAAATCATATTGGTGAGGCAGTTATGCATACAGATCTTGCTTTGTAGCTGCTTATTTTCTTTCAATACATTACTCACCTTTTTTAAAAAGACGGCACAGATCTACTATAAACTGTACATTTGCATATAGAATATATATAATATTACTGTGTTACCCTGCTTGTCCTTTGTGTCATTTTCTAGTTAAGAATCCAGCACATGGAGTTCTCACCCTTTATTCTACAGCAATGCATGATAGCCTTTCGCCCCTTCTAGTCATGTCATAGCAGAACATGCTTGTTCTGTCACTCCCCTGTGAAAGACTGAAGAACTAGATCCTCTGATTGGCTATACATTTAGGCAAAAACATTTTTGACTCTATAAAAGTACACGCTTTCCACCCTTGAACTTAGGAAGAAGCAAGTTTATCTTATAATAGTGTAATATTTTACCTGTCTGTCTAACAGACAGCTAAAGCAGTGAGGAAAAGCTCTTTGATCTGGGTTTTGGTTTGGATTCACATGACCCTTTTCACTGTGGGAATAAGCACATGTATCCCTGACAAGACACTGCTGGGGAATCCAAGCACTTTGAGTTGGTTTGCACTCCGAAGGCTGTCCCACCTCTCTGTTGTCTTGCTGAAGACAGAATGAAGAAGTGGCTTAGACCTGAGTGTATTAGCAAATCTATAAATAAACCATTAGAGCTATGCTGACCTGTACCACTTCATGAGTTGGTTCATCTTGATACAAAGACGAAAAGAAGCTGGATCAACTTGTT